ACGCGGGCCCTAAGCACTGTGCCTAATGGGTAAGTCGGCTCTGCATACCAGCAGTGTTGACTCGACAACCTCTTGAAGGCTCTTCCAGCCTGCTGATTCGATGACACGGACCTATTAATGCACAACACTTTAACACCATTTTGAAATCCCTCCCCCATACAGTGCATTGCCCCAGTGTATAGTTAGGCCCTTAGACGGGGTGGGGAACCCAGTAGCTGACCCACAGAAACATCAGTCGCGGCCACATGCAAGCAAAAAAACCTACCCCCCCCACCTCATTACTCACCTGCTCCCAAGCAAGCAAAAAAACCTACCTCCCCACCTCATTACTCACCTGCTCCCAAGTGAGAAGCAAACCCCCCCCCACACACACCCACACTTAACTCAGCACATGGTGCATTCCATGTCTACTGGTGGGTACCAAAGCTCGGGGCTTCCAGCTCACGCCAGATCAAATTAAGCTGGGGGCTGTAGGTTCCCCACCCCTGCCTTAGACACTGGCGGGGCTTGCTTTCCCACTGCCCATGACCTTTGCAGAAGGGGCGGCCTTGCCTAATCTTCCCTGGAAGTTCTTTCTACCGCAGGATCCTTTTTACCTGTGCAACACAGGTGTAAACGGCTGCCTGTGACTGTCTACATTACCAGGTGGATCGATGCTGCAGCAATCAGACCACCGGGAATCAACTTATCGTGTCTGCTTAGACACAATAAATGGATCTCTGAGCATGCTCCCTCCAGGTGGCCAGGAAGAATCCAGCTGGGGTCAGGTGGGGCTTGGCTCCATGGGGAGGAGGGGAAGTTTGCAGAAGGGGCAGAGCCCCGTGCAGAAGGGGCGGGGCCGGGGCTTGCTTTCCCGCTGCCCATGACCTTTGCAGAAGGGGCGGAGCCTCGTGCAGAAGGGGCGGGGCTGGGGCTTGCTTTCCCGCTGCCCATGACCTGCTGCCTCTTCATTTCATGGGGTGACCCCTGCCTCAAGCGTTACGTGGGGCTTGGCTCCATGGGGAGGAGGGGAAGTTTGCAGAAGGGGCAGAGCCCCGTGCAGAAGGGTTGGGGCCAGGGCTTGCTTTCCCGCTGCCCATGACCTTTGCAGAAGGGGCGGATCCTCGTGCAGAAGGGGCGGGGCCGGGGCTTGCTTTCCCGCTGCCCATGACCTTTGCAGAAGGGGCGGATCCTCGTGCAGAAGGGGCGGGGCCGGGGCTTGCTTTCCCGCTGCCCATGACCTTTGCAGAAGGGGCGGATCCTCGTGCAGAAGGGGCGGGGCCGGGGCTTGCTTTCCCGCTGCCCATGACCTTTGCAGAAGGGGCGGATCCTCGTGCAGAAGGGGCGGGGCCGGGGCTTGCTTTCCCGCTGCCCATGACCTTTGCAGAAGGGGCGGATCCTCGTGCAGAAGGGGCGGGGCCGGGGCTTGCTTTCCCGCTGCCCATGACCTTTGCAGAAGGGGCGGATCCTCGTGCAGAAGGGGTGGAGCCGGGGCTTGCTTTCCCGCTGCCCATACAAGCTATTGTGCTGGTGAGCACAAGAGCAGAAGATTTTTTGGTGATATGCAAGGATGTGTTCCTCCTCATCTAAGACTATAAAAGTGATCAGTGTTGATCCTGTATTGAAACCTTTCCTTCACCCTCTCAAGATGGAAGCAGAACGCCTCAAGCGTTATGTGAATGGCACTTCCTTAGTCACTTTCTTTACCCCCCACCCCTCTCAGATCTCATGATTTTACAGACATCCGTCCTCTCCCTGCTTTGTCAGCTCTTTCGATCCTGGGCTTTGCTGCCTGAGTCACCCTCTGCTCGCTGGTCCTGTCAACCATGCACCGACTGTCCCACGGCCTGTAGTGCTGTGAGACGGCTCAGGAGGAGCGAGGACAGAGGGGAAGGCCTGTGGGAGAAGAGGAGAAGGGCTTGAGTGGTTTGAACTCAGCCAGGGCTCGTTAAACCCTTCCCTATATCATCTTACCAGAAACTGATTCGGGGGATCCTGCTGATATTCTGCACGCCAGATGTGCGCTGCAGCTGGGGGAGAGACAGCAGGTCGCTCCCAGCCCGAGGATGTGTGGGGAGGCGGGGCTGGCGTGAACGAGAGGCGTAAGGAAGAGGAAGATACACGTGTACACCCCTGCGTACCTCTCCTCCACTTTTTTCTCCCTTTGCAATCTCTGTTCCCACCTGCACAAAATTCCTCCTTTCAACCCTTTTCTTTCCTTTGCAGAATCGGAAGGACAAGGAAAGACCTAAACAGAAGCACAAAAAACGTCCGGAGTCTCCCACCAGCCTCACCCCCTCCTCTGTGCCCGTCCCTGCTGAGAAGGTACCAGATCCGTGAGGTGCTTGTGGGCAGGGGTGGGGGTTCTGCCGCCTTTACTTGGGAAGCGACAGGCAAAAGAGGCTTTCTCCCTTTATTTTGATTCCTGATTTCTCATGTTCTTCCCTCTCCTGCCTGTATTCTCTCTTCCCCTCCCCCTCCACCCTGGGAATTTCACATTGTGCGGGTCTCTCGCTTTCTGTCAGTGGGCAGACGGCTGAACTCCCCAGTGGCTGAGTGGCTGGTCCTCTCCTGTTCAGGTTTACAGCAATCAAGGATACAGTACGTCCAGGTGGTGTCCTTTCTGCAGCTGTGCTGTAAACAGCTCAGACAGGTGGGACCACTATGTAAGGGTAGGAAGAGACGACTGGAGACCAAGGTCCTGACGCTTTGTTCTGCTCTCAGCTCTGAATGCCCTTTGCAAATGCCAGTGAAGCCTCCGAGGCAGACAAATAGTTGAACTGTATTTCCTTCAGATCTGGGGAAACTGAGGCACGGCAGGGCTGATTCCCTGCTGCCCTTCGTGGAAGATATCAGAGCGTCCCACTTCCAGGGTTGGGGGCATGCAGCGCCCCACAGGGGGCTATTGCAGTGGAGTGTAAATTAGAACAGCCGCTCTCTTTCGTGCTGGGGCCACGCCACACACGGAGGTGAGGTGTCTTGCCCCAGGGTCACATGGGAAGCCATGGAAGGGCAAGGACTAGAACCCAGACATCCTGACTCCTACGGCAGGAGGAGCAGAGCCAGGCTCCGGCTAGAACCCATAGAAAACAGCCCAGCAGCCTCTTAGAAAGACTGTTTAAAAGGTAATAGAGATGTAGCCGTGTTCCTCTGGTCTTGCTGAAACAAAAAACAGGACTATGTAGCACTTTAAAGACTAACAAGATGGTTTATTAGGTGATGAGCTTTCATGGGCCAGACCCACTTCCTCAGATCAAATTGTGGAAGAAAATTGGCATTACCATGTATACCAAAGGGATACAATCAAAAAACAGACATCAGACAGTTTCACAAAGAAAAAACAGTTTCTTGTCATTTCAACCAGACTGGGCATTGTTTCAATGACCTAACTACATACATCCTGTTTCAAAGAGACTTTAACACCAGACTACAAAGGGAAGCCTCAGAATTGTCATTCATGCTTAAATTTGACATTTTACGAATGGGCCTTAACAAAGATGCTAATTATCTTACCCATTACAAAGATAGCTTCCCCAATTATCACCCCTAATATCATTATCTCATAGACACTAACCTCCCCCCCCACTCTCATTCTGTTCTAAAATCTGATTTGTCAATTTTATGTGTTAATTTTTTTTTATTATATCCCTTTGATATATATGGTCATCCCAATTTTCTTCCATAATGTGATCTGAGGAAGTGGGCCTGGCCCACGAAAGCTCATCGCCTAACAAACCATCTTGTTAGTCTTTAAGGGTACGTCTAGACTACAGGCCTTTGTCAACAGAGATACTGTCTACAAAACTTCTGTGGACAAAGAGCGTCTAGACTACATCCAGTTCTGTCGACAAAGCATGCCGCTTTGTCGACATGAGAGTGTAGACGCAAAGGACAGTGTAGATGCAATAACGCCTTCTGTCGACCGAACTCTGTCAACAAAAGGCGTTATTCCTCATAGAATGAAGTTTACCGCCGTCGACAAAACTGCCGAGTTCTGTCGACGTTATGTTGACAAAACTCGGTGGTAGTGTAGACGCAGGTATAGTTTTGTCAACAAAAGTCCACTTTTGTTGACAAAACCCTGTAGTCCAGACACACCCTAAAGTGCTACATAGTCCTGTCTTTTGTTTAAAAGGTAGAACAACTGCTCCAAGTGAAACAAAAGCACCATGCGCTGTTGGCATCTACACAGGGGTGACGCTCTTTCAGGGGGGCCCAGGAATGGGGTGGCAGCAGGTCAGAGGCCCAGAAATGTGCCTCATCAGGTTGGAAGGGAATCATCCAAACAGCAGGTTGGAACTGAGGTGCAAGAGCAGAGCAAGGCAGGATCAGACTTCAGACTGGGAGAGCAGGCGGGCGTTGCTGGGCATTGCACCGGTTGAGCGAGCATGGAGTCCTGCCCGTGGCGTATTTGCACTCTTCCAGCCCAGAGGTAGTGCGCTTAGACTCCCGCGTGGCATTAACCGAGTGGCTGGGGGCTGATGTGCTAAGAAGATTATTTCCAAGCTCATGTTGAAATTCAAAACCTGGCTCCCGACAAGCTAGAGTGCCTCTTAGACAATGGCCCGCTGTCTGCCAGACCTTTGTACGAAGGGGGGAAGGGCTGAGCCAGTTTATGCAGCACTTTGTAAGCTGACATTCAGGTGATCCTGAATATACTGGCCATTACTAAGTGGCAAGGGCCATAGTCTTTCCACGGGTGTGTGTGTGAGTGTGAGTGTTATTCATCTTCATAACAATGAGTGGCATTCCCCTTGGGCCTGCTGTGCACAGAGCTTAGGGTGTGGCACAAACCGGCTGCTGCCGAGATGCACCCCCTTCTGGGGTGGAGCGCAGCCGCTGCTTCACAGCATCGTTCAGGACTGGAAGGGGAACATCTGTGTGCAGCTGCAGAGGGGTACGTGAGGCAAGGGGTGGGGAACTTTTTTGGGAGTCTGGGGCTGCTGACCACAGACAAATCAGTCGGGGACCCCGCACAAAAATGAGAAGCAAAACAAAACGAAAAAACCCAACCAAACAACCCTGCCTGGGAAGGAGAAAGACCCTCCCCACGTCCCCCTCGCACACCAGAGCTAGGGGGGCCCAGGCTAGTCGATTGTGTGGGACCCCAGCGCTCTGGGGTGGGGCCAAAAATGAGGAGTTTGGACGGAAGGGAGGGTGCAGGAGTGGGTTGGTGGTGGGAGGGCTGGGTGGGATGCAGGAGCAGAGTAGGAGCTGAGGGCTGGGTGGGAGGGGCTGCAGGGGGGAGAAGCCCCCAATACAGGGGGGAGAAGCCCCAAGCCTTGAGGGCTGGATCCAGGCAAGCCTGGGCCCTGATCCAGCCCCCGGGCTGTAGGTTCCCCACCCCTGTATAGATCCTGGCGCCGGTACATAAGAACATAAGAACGGCCGTACTGGGTCAGACCAAGGGTCCATCTAGCCCAGTATCCTGTCTGCCGACAGTGGCCAGCACCAGGTGCCCCAGAGGGGGTGGACCGAAGACAATGATCAAGCCATTTGTCTCCTGCCATCCTTCTCCAGCCTCTGACAAACAGAGGCCAGGGACACCATTTCTGTCCCCTGGCTAATAGCCTTTTATGGACCTAACCTCCATGAAATTATCTAGCTTCTATTTGAACTCCGTTATAGTCCCAGCCTTCCCAGCCTCACACGCTGTGTGAAGACTACACCAGTGCAGTTACACAGCAGAAATCTCTTAACAAAAAGGGGCCTGGTCCACCTGCACCCGCGCTGGGCACCTACACAGGCAGCCAGCAGGCGTGTGTTTGATCGGTGCACGTCCCATCCCTGTCCAGCCACCAAGCATATTGCTACTGCGCGGGCGTATCTGGCTGCTTGCATCAGCCCGGCCTGTACCCTCCGGCGGTGATTGCGTCGATGCACAGTGCAGAACGGCCCGGGGAGGAGTCCCAGTGCCCCTGCAGCCACCGGGATGCACCGTGCGTGCATTGTGGGATAATAGAAACAACCCAGCCAGAGATCTCTGGGACATAGGGGCCGTGACAGTGTGACTGGTGGGGGCTGGTAGAATTACCCCTCCTGGAGCTAGTCTGGGACAGTCTAGTGCTCAGAGCGTGGAGGTGGGTGGCAAACTCAAAAGTATGTACGGCTGCTTTGCCATCGCGTATAGTTTTACAGCGAGTGAGGCAGGGCAGGCCAGTGGGTAGAGCATGAGACTCGGCATCAGGAGAGCTGGATTCCGTTCTTGATACTGACTTGCTGGATGACCGTGGGCAAGTCATTTCCCCCTCTCTGTGCCTCAGTTTCCCCTCGCACCCCACCTCCCTCACTCTTGCCTGTTTAGGTTGTAAGTCCTTTAGCTTTCCCTGATAATGTATCTGTTCCGTGTCTAGCACAATGGGGGCTTGATCTCAGGTAAGCGCTACTGTGATACCAATAATGGTTCCCCCCCACCCCCCAGAGAGGCTCCAATACTATGGTGCAGAACTAGAGATAGAGACAGCCGCATTCTTATCTTCAAACCCCAGCCCAGCACTCCCTTCTTCCCTCCCTGCAGTTCAACACACTCCTCCAGCTGCCACCTGGCAGACAAACCAAACCTTTTTAAAAACTCTGCTGCCCCCCCCCCCCCCCCCCGCCTCGCCCACCACATCCCAGTGGCTCCAGAGGCAAACCGGTGTTCCCAGTAAGCTGAGCACGTGTGCGGCCATTGAGGAGAAATTCAAATGCCGCTCAACTGATTAGCAAAGCGCCCACAGCTAGATTTTATATTTCTGTTGGTGGTGCCTATTCACACAGGCCTGGGTGCGCGTCACAATTATTCCGCACATGGATGGAAAAGATTAAAGGGGACACTGGGGACCAGGGTTGCCCGGACCTGCCTTAGGGCCCATGGCCAGGGCTCCGTAGCCAGAGGATGAGGGACCCCTGGGAACGGGCATTGCTGGGCACAGGGGGGGCAGGTTTCTGGGCAGGAGGGCAGTGAGGCAGGGCCGGCTGGAAGCAGAGAGCTGGGGTTGGGGACACAGGTGGGGGGCAAGTGCAGAGGGTGGGGCAGAAGGTGCAGCGGTTAATAGTAAAGGGGTGTAGGATGGGGGTACAGGGAGCCCAGGGTGCCAGGGGAAATGGGGGAGAGCTATGCCCACAGCCGTGTTTCCCAGGCACATTGTTTCTTGGGCCCCCGGGGAAGCCGGCAAGGTCTGCAAGCACCAGGCTTTCTGGGGAGCCGCCTTCCGCGGGGTCCGGGGAGAGTCACCAAACGCGCAGGCAGAGCGGCCCTGCCAGCAGACCTGAATGCAAGCGGGCAGGACGCCTGCGTCCAAGCCCCCAATCCCATCCTAGGGCCGCGGGGGCTGCATTCTCCC